TTTTCTTCAACCGTTTCATCTCTTTCAGTCGACTGTCTTTTTTGTTCCCTCGCCTTTGTTCGGACTTTCTTTGTTTTATTTTCCATAACCCCATCCAAATGTTCTGTCAGGTTTAAAAATAGAACTGATACCCTTCTTCTTCTTGCTGCCTTGCTTCCTGTTCTCCCCCCCCCCTCTCTCTCTCCTTCCCTGCAGTACAGCACACAGTGGAGTCTCTCTGCTTGAAGCTACGTTGCGTTGTTTATCCTCTCCTGAGCCCCGCCATCCCCGTTTTCTCTCCACAGCTCTCACCCCCCAAACAAAACCTCATTTAACACTCCTGTCTCCTTCTGCCGGGTTTCAGTTTGAGGAGCTCCGGAGGAACCGTCTGCAAACAGAGCAGTCGTTTCTGCTGTGGTTAACTCTCGCGTCTTGGCTTTTTTCTCTCCCCTGCCCCTTCCCCCCTCCCTCTCAAATGCTCAAAAGAAAAAAAAAGAAAAAACAGAGCTCCCCCTCATCATGGTTTTCTTCCACATCAGCATGTTGCTTCCTCTGCATCCTCCTCCCTCCAGCTCCCATCTGCTGTGTTGTGCTCCACCTTCCTTTCCAGAGCTCTGGGGTTTTGCTTGAGATGGCGCATCAGTTCTCTCACCTCTTTCAGGAGAGTACGGTTGTACTACCAAAACGTTGACGGTCCGTGTGGATGGTGTCACTCCGTCCCTGTTTCTGATACCTCTGAAAACACTGCCTCCGATATGCTGCTACCTGGATAAGCTCGCACAGCCCTGAGTCGCACTGGTAGCACACTGAGACTGTACGTTGATCCCAGGTGGGATATTCGCAGAGAAAGTGAAAACGGAAGCGATTACGGGCAATGAACCGGCGCTGATAAGCTCGAAATGAGTGTGTGAACCCTTTCGGTGACGCCAGTCAGTGACAGGGTGAGTCACGCAACCGCGTTGTTAGAGACTGAGTGATTGTCCCACTGATTTGCTAATTGGTGAATTAACACAAAAATGTGCACCAATATCATCTAAGACTCCACCAAATGTTAGGACCGGCTCCTCACGGGGATTACCTCACGCTGAGTGGAAATCCAAGCCCTGAAAGTGACGCTCTGGCAGATGGGAATCCCCTTATCTTGTGCCTGTTCATAGTACATTTTGAAGTTTTAGCCCATCAAAATTGCCGGACCAAAGCACACATGTTGGTTTTGTGTTTCTAAATGTGGGTGAACCGTTTAAAGCCCTCACGGGACACATTACAGGGGGTCAACATGTGGTTTGGACAGATAAAGTCAGCGAGGCCTACTTTTGTTGCTATGCGGCCAGCAGACACCAAATTAGAGCGTGGTCCATAGGGTTGTGTTTGAGTCAATGCCGATTGGAAATGCAGGTCATAAATTCCAACTACTGAAGAGTCATTTGAGTTGGAGTCAGATTCCAGTTAAATGGCACCCAGTGTGGCTTTTGGAGGCAGGCCTATTGTCTTTAAATTGCATTTTCAGAGGCTGACCACTGTAAAAAAAAAAAAGAAAAAACATGTTCAAAGGTTCTGAACTTCCCTCAGTATCCAGTTAACTTAAGACATTTTTCTTTGTTTCGGTCTTAAGGTTTGGATTTACAGGTCAAAAGTATTCGATTGAGGACCAAAAAACCTATAATGTTAGCAATGGGCACTTTTCTATTTTCAAAAGGAAACAGTTATTGAGTTTGTTGTTTTGGTTAACACATCATGTTAAAATCAGAATCCACAACTTCTTGTTTGGATATGAGCATCAACTTGTTAAGGGCGGCAAATCAGAGCTACCGGGTTAGATTGGTAAAGAAATCTATGCCACTCTGTGCTCAAATTGAACAGCTCACAACTTTTGGGTTGTTGGTTTCACATGACCAACAGCCCAACGGGTTGCACATTCATAGGTGAGCAAACGTGCCGTGTGTGGATCCACCCACCTGCCCCCGATTTGTGCCTGTTGCAGCATGCCTGCGCTCTGATTCTGTGTGTGTGTTTGTGTGCATGTGTTCATGTTTTTATTTAGTCCCTAATTGAGGATTGTGAATCACTTCCAGTTTGGTCTTTCACTGTAATATCTGTGTCACACCCGTATCAGGTAATACCTTTTCATGCATCACATGGTTTTTGTCCCTTCTGTGAATCACATTTATGTTTTTTTTTGAGTAATTGAGACATGTGAATATGTTTTTTCCAGGCCAATGTGGGTTTTACGTAAAAGCGCACTCGGTGTAAACAGCCAGGCACCCAGATGCAGTTTGACAGCTGCTTTATTTCCTCTGCCCTTAGATGCGATTCCGTGTCCTCGGATGACATCTCAACTAATGCTGTGTCACACTGTGTATCTTTTGGGACCGAGTAAGGTATTTTGAGAGTTCAGGAACCATGAAAGATTCAAGCCTT